CTAAGAGATCATCAAAGTACTTGTAATGGCTGAAAATCACGTGCCCTCCTATATCAAATAAAAATCCTTCTGGTGTGACGTCGGTAGCTGCTAATCCACCAGGTTTGTCAAGTGCGTCGATCATTAGCCAGTTTTCGTGGTTTAGTTGGTGGAGTCTAGTGGCGGCCCCAAGTCCAGTTGGACCCGATCCGATGATTAAAATATCCACTTCTTTTGAAAGTTCCATTCTAGGCAGTAATCTTATTAAATGCACAGAAAAAAAGGAAAACCATTTTGTGAAATAAATTATTAATGAGTACTTGAAAAATACATGCAACTCTTATTATTAAAATGAAATACACAATAAGATCTTCCTGTAATTTTAGATATTTTGTAGAGCCACATAAAACGTGAATATACTGCATAACTTTGCAATAAATGATATGAAATTTATTACACTGTATAAAACATCAGTAACCAGCATTATTATGAACTCTGACCCCAAATGTGGACAGTAATGAGACGCTGTTGTGATTTAAGCGTTAAAATTAAGATTTATTTTAATGGATCATGATATATTTATGATGGGTTCGTTTGTTGTTAAGCGCAAAATCACACAATGGTTTATCTCTGCTGGGCCCATTCACGGTATCGAATCAGGTTTTTAGTTTTATAACCCTTGATACTTATCGCTGAGCCATTGCGGGCGTTTTTGATAGAAAGATGAATAAATGAATTCTATAGCGGTATAATGAAATTTCTTGTAAAAAGTGTATCTATTAAGAAAGTTGTGAACGTATTTAGGATTCGAAATATTTCAATTATTTAATGACATATTTTTATGTGAAGAAATGCCATTAGGACAAGAAAGTTTTTTTCTATCCGAACGAACAAAAAATACAAATGTAGATCTGTAATTTCTATTAAAACGATTCTTTGTTCAGTTACTGCCCCGTATTTAACGGATGGGTTTTAACTTCACCAGGCTACTGTCTAAAGTTAACAGTTAATAATTTAATGAATTTTGTTTGTCTGTTGTTATGCACAAAACCCCGCAATGGTCTGTTTGTGATATGATCTCCACGGATATTGCAACCCAATATTTTGTATTATAAAACATCAAACTTACCGCTGAGACACTGTGTGTGTGTGTGAGGTGGTGGTGGTGGTGGTGTTTGTAATAAATAAAACTACAACTGTGTTAGAACAATACACTTTTCTACATAACTATATTTAATGGGCTATTTATTATTGCTGGGTGGGGTAAAGGTGTTCCTCTGACCGGGCGTAGCCTAGCGATAAGCCTGCTGGACTATGAATTCTGCAAATCGTGCCCCGCACTTTGGAGATATGATGTATTATAGTGGGTCACATTTTGGGGATATTGACGAATTATTTGATTAGAGTAACCAAAAAAGTTGGCGATGAATGGTATAACATAGTTTGTGGGTAGAGCGTGGCCCAGTGATTAGCGTGTTTGCCCTTAAAACCCGCCGGTTTATCGTTAACGTCCAGTGACCACAAAAAAAAAAAAAAAGGTGCTACGCACTTTGGAGCCCCAGGTGCACTTTAAGGGGAATTGTCAGTTGCCACTATTGGATCAGGAAAAAGTAGCCCAAGAGTTGGCAGTGGGTGGTGTTGACTACCTGCATTTCCTCTTGTCTATCCCTTCTAAATTAGGGACGGCTAGCATTCTTCTTGTTTATCCTTTCTAAATTAGGGACGGCTAGCGTTCCTCTTGTCTATCACTTCTAAATTAGGGACGGCTAGCGTTCCTCTTGTCTATCACTTCTAAATTAGGGACGGCTAGCGTTCTCCTCTTATCTATCACTTCTAAATTAGAGACGGGTAGCGTTACTCTTGTCTATCACTTGTAAATTAGGGACGGCTAGCATTCTTCTTGTTTATCCTTTCTAAATTAGGGACGGCTGGCGTTCCTCTTGTCTATCACTTCTAAATTAGGGACGGCTAGCGTTCCTCTTGTCTATCACTTCTAAATTAGGGACGGCTAGCGTTCCTCTTGTCTATCACTTCTAAATTAGGGACGGCTAGCGTTCATCTTGTCTATCACTTCTAAATTAGGGACGGCTAACGTTCTCCTCTTATCTATCACTTGTAAATTAGGGACGGCTAGCGTTACTCTTGTCTATCACTTGTAAATTAGGGACGGCTAGCGTTACTCCAGTCTATCACTTCTAAGTTATCGTAAATTGTGCAAATGTGAGAAACAGAAAATAAAGTAATTCTTTATTGTTTTCTCTTTTTAAAGCACGCAGTAAAGCCTTAGACATTTTGTGAAAGTACGTAGTGAAACCTTAGATATTTTGTGAAAGTACGTAGTGAAACCGTAGACATTTTGTCAAAGTAAATAATTTAACCTTAGACATTTTGTCAAAGTACGTAGTGAAACCTTAGATATGTTGTCAAAGTACGTAGTGAAACCGTAGACATTTTGTCAAAGTACGTAGTGAAACCGTAGACATTTTGTCAAAGTAAATAATTTAACCTTAGACATTTTGTCAAAGTACGTAGTGAAACCTTAGACATTTTGTCAAAGTACGTAGTGAAACCTTAGACATTTTGTCAAAGTACGTAGTGAAACCTTAGATATGTTGTCAAAGTACGTAGTGAAACCGTAGACATTTTGTTAAAGTACGTATTGAAACCTTAGACGTTTTTGTTAAAATACGTAGTGAAACCTTAGACATTTTTGTCAAAGTACGTAGTGAAACCTTAGATATATTGTCAAAGTACGTAGTGAAAGCTTAGACATTTTGTCAAAGTACTTAGTGAAACCTTATACATTTTGTAAATATTTATTTCTATTCAAACATATCGGTTTCACACCTACATTAATTTTTAAAGCTGCTGACGTGGCTCGGCTATAACATATATAACAAACAAAGCCAAGAAGCTTGATAAAAACCTTATTTATTAATATTAAATAAAAGAGATGGATATCGTTTCAGTATCATGAGATCTGTATTAAAGCAAAACCTATCTTAAAGTATCAGTGTATAGTGTAGTTCATGTTAGAATACTATTGTGACAATCCAACTGTTAACCCGACAGATACAATTACAGTTATAATATTACGTCCATTATAATTATTATGATCTGAAGATGAAAGGTCCCGGTACGATATTAATGTTAACTTGATAATTCTGAATTGAAGTATGTTGTTATTATTATATTAAGAGAGTTAACATGATGATTCTGAATGAAGAAAGCAGCCCTCTTTACAGTATTATTGTTCACATGATAACTTTGAACTGAATAAGATAACATTGGCTACAGAAGTAGTGCTAACATGATAATTCTGAACCGGAGCATGTAGCTTTCGTTACAGTATTAGTGTTAACATGATAATTCTAAACCGGAGCATGTAGCTTTCGTTACAGTATTAGTGTTAACATGATAATTCTGAACTGAAGCACGTAGCCCTAATTACAATGAGAACATGATGATTCTAAGCGAAAACAAGCAGTTCTCATTTAGGTGGCATAACTTCCGCCGCGTAAATGTAAATAAAATATCAGAACAACGACTCTATGAACACGTTAATCGTTAAACACAGAAGAGTCTATCTTTATTTGAATAGTTAAACATAGTACAGTTTATTTGTTTGTTTACTGGGTACGGCGCAAAACTACTCGAGGCTACCTGCGCTAGCTGTTCCTAAGTTTTAGGTGATAAATTAGAGGGTTTGTTTGTTTGTTTGTAATTAAGCACAAAGCTACACAATGGGCAATCTGTGCTGTGCCCACCACGGGGACCGAAACCAGATTTCTAGCGTTGTAAGTCCGCAGACATACCGGTGTGCCACTGGGGGCCAAAATTAGAGGGAAGGCAGCTTTATATGATTTAAAGGGCCTTTTCGAAGTTAAACTTCAAATTTAGGGGTTAATAAACAAGAGCTGTTTGTTTGACGGTAAAATAACCCTGTCGAAATATTCCATCGTTATTTATCGCTACTTGTATCTCTAATTATTTGTTTATTTGTTAGAAAAATAAATGAAAATTTTGAAAAATATTAAAAGTTGCGTGAAAGTTTCCCATGAATGTTGTTATTTATTATAAACCTTATGAATAAAGACGCTGGTCCCTTAAATACTACACAGAAATGAAATGTTTTAATTATTTGTGAAATATACATGTATGTCCTTATCTAGCTTAACTTAACTTACTGTATTCGTGACATACCTGATTAAGCAGCGTTTAGTTCTAGGAACGAAAGTAAATGGTTCTCGACTGGTATCAGTGTAATGAAGGCCCGTATTGAAATGATCACAGGTGGTATATGTGCAAATAAAATATCAGAAAACTGACCCTGTGAACACACGTAGTCTTCAGTTAGCAGTAAATTTCTATTTTCAATCTAGAAACATATGTTTGGTATAGCTTCTGTTTCGGATCACAGCTGACGTTATAAGTATAACTTATATGATATCTATAAATACACTTTGGACAACATGTTCTACAACATATTATACCTTAGACATGCCAACTGCCAGCTCTTCAATTGTTCATCTCCGTGCTATTCCAGGTGGACAGGTTTTGCTGACGTCTGATGCTTTGAGTTCTTCAGGAAAGTTTGTGAATGGCAGAAATTTCAGATGTTCTTTCTTTTCCCGTAAACTGCCTTCAACAACTGTATTTTAGATTATGTTGATGAATGGTGATTTCTAACATTAAAACGATTTTTTTTTCTAACATCCTCACGTATACAATTAACAAAAATTTTACATCTCTTCATTTGTTCATGTTCTGCATCTGCAAAAAGTCCGTGTCGTCCAAAAGATTTACTAAATATGTTTTGGACAGTTAAAAATTATGATCAACAGCTAAAATAACAAACAACAACTAATGCTTCATCCAGTATGCTCAAATGCCCAAATGTACGTTATATAAATGTAAGATTGATAACTTGTAACAAATTCAAACTTGATTCAGTTTCTACGATGTTTTTGTCGTTCGATAAAATCGTAGAAGATTTGTTGTTTTGTTTTAAGCGTGTGACGGATTTGTTATTATATATATATATTTATTTTACTATCGATGTTTGTTTAGATTAAATTCATGTTTAGAAACATACATAGCTTATAGAGTTAAATATGTATTGCGAAACTGCCCCTATTCTCCAAAGTTGTAGAATATTCTCGAGAGTAAGAACCAACAGTATATGTGTGTACGTAAACGCTTGTGTTAGCGTCAGTATTGTTACGTAAAACTGAAATTTCGAGAAAGCATCCACACGCCTATAAATATAATCAATGCGACGCGCCAAAAAGAGTATCTATTATTAGTTTGCTAATGTCAGTGTGGTATAATTTTTGGAAGCTATAACTGTGATTGTTATGACGCTTATCAATAGGAAAACTTCAGATATCTGACCAGGAACCTTTACAAAGTTTGAACATTACAAATCATTTAGCTTCAGTGGATTCTCATCGGACATTAGCATTTTTTTACGAAAACATTATATTAATTAATCATGGAAAACTCGGCGTGTGTGGCTGGTGAATAATGAAGGACAAAGCTAGCTAGCTCCCTGTTATGTGAATCTACCTGCGTCCACTCGTAATTAACTCACTCATCGTGAACCCTCAATAAGATATCGAGGAAGTTCCAGACTAGAAAGAAGACTTTATATTGCTTGTAAGTTTATGAAACTTTTGTTTATAAGTCATTGTTTGTAATAACTGTTATTGTAAGTTGTATTGTTTTGTGTATATTAAAACGTATTTGTGTTAAAAAAAAGAAACTGTGTGTATCAATCTTGTTGAAAAATATCATAAATTGACTATATATCGGCTTTTACTTAACTGCTAAATCCAAAGTACAATTTAACTACTAAATTCAAAGTATCATTTAACTCAATTTTAGGCTATTTGAAATTCTAATACGAACAAGCGTAAATCTAAACAATGGGTGTCTGCAGCTGAGGATTATTTGTTTGTTTGAGAGCAAAGTCACATTGAGCTATTCACTGTGTCCACTGTGGGGAATCAAACCCCGGATGTTAGTGTTGTAAGTCTTTAGATGTACCGCTGTTTCACTAGGGGATGCGTTCGAAGAACAATAGGAACCTGAAAATGGTCCGCATAGATAGTACAATATAGCTGAAAAAAATATATGTGTGTTACTTGTAAAAAATAACCAACAGGAAACGGAAAACACTTTAAAAATATTTTGAAATTATGACAACATTACGGCCAACGTCCTTTATCAGGTAGTTCCTAAAATAGTTACAAAAAATGAACGAGAAACAAATTTGAATGACAATATTAGAATAAAGTAATAGTACACATACATCGTATCACGTATACGTTAACTGTTAGACAAAGACTAGGCGTGTAGGCGAAACAAACAATACAACAAACATTGCTAAATGAGTGGTTGGTTATTGGGGGGTTATATGGCGCCAGAACATCGGGGCTACCTGCACCAAACAATAGAGCAAACATTGATAAATGGTTGGTTGGTTTGTTATTGGGGGTTATATGGCGCCAGAACATCGGGGCTATATGCACCATACAATAGAGCAAACATTGATAAATGTTTGTTTGTTTGATTGGTTGGTTATAGGGGATTTATGGTGCAGAACACCAGGGCCATCTGCGCCAAGCAAGAGAATCTAATATATGTGAAAAGAATAAAAATAATGTAAAATATGCAAAAAAGTAAAAATGAAAACATAATAAAAAGGACCGCGTTTGTTCTTTAGTTATGAAACAAGGTTAAAAAGTCAAATAGAAATAAAAAACAATGGCCTGAGCTTAAAACACGATAAACCTGAAAAGTGTCACCATCGCCAACGACACTGTCAAGTGTCAAAAGTAAACCACGGGAAAAAATAACTAAAAATGATGCCACCATTGAAAATCGTAGCGAATGCGCGAAAGTATAACGTAGGCAATCGTGAATTGAGTGTCACAAAGGCCACACATTGGCAGATTAGTATCTTGTAAAAGAAATCGATGAATAATGAAACTGTGGCCAATGTGCAGCATAGATAAGACAATTCCCTCTCTCTGATTCGTACATAAACTATATGGCCAAACAACAACAATTGACGAGTGAAGGGCGTTTCTGATGAAGGGCTCGATTTAAACATTCCAGTTGCTGACTATAGATCTCTGCATTGACAGTTTGCTGTGGATTGAGGAGTTCGAAATGAACGAACACATTTGTTGTGAGGTTTGTCACCCCAAATCGACAGTCAAATGGCGTGAAGCCTTGTTTTATGAAAGGACTGAAGTTCACATAAGAGAGAGAAGGCTGTGACAACGCCAGCGCAGACGGATTTAGCTGAGATATCAGCAAGCTTTTTCCCACGAATACCAGCATCATCGAGAATACAGAAAACTGAATTGGAATGGACATCAACGAAAAAATGAGCCTGTCTTTTCTAAATGTCCAAGAAAACTGAGTGAGAACGCACTTAAGCGATACTAGAGCCCTCAAGGAGCTAAGCGAGTCAACATAGATCATAGAGTTAGTGTACTGCTTAGCTTCAACATGATCTAAGCCCAGTGAAATGGCATATAACTCAGAAGTGAACATATAATTTGTAGAAGGGATCCTTTGAGCAACCACAGAGCAACAGCAAATCATGAGAGAGCCCACAGAGGCATCAGAATTTGAACAATCCATAAAAATGGAAACAAAATAATGGTTTAAAAGATATTCATTAAAGAGAAGACAGTAGTTCTAATTAGGAGTATTCGACTTCTTCCTGTCACCTAAAAACAATGACAAGTGTGGATGGTAGTAAGCCATGATAGGATGAGCTGATCATTAAATTCAGTATTATCATCCAATGGTAAACCCATTTTAGTCAACTGTGTTAGGATATGAAGAACAAATGTAGAAAATCAGATCATCTATTTCTAAAAAACACAACCAATTGAGACTTGAAGACACAATGCCTGGTGAGATGTTTTGGTAATGGTTGGAGATTTACAGCATATTGTAAAGAAAGTTGGAAATGTCTGAGGTAAAGTGGAGGCTCATAAGACTCAATGTACAAACTGTGACTGAAGAAGTACAGAAAGGTCACATGCACAGCCAAAGCCCTTGATGATGTACACAGCGTGGTCACAAGTAAATAGACACCACC